ATCCAAACCTTGGTTTTTAGTATATATTTTGGTACTATGGTCATTTCATGGAGTAAACTGCCACATCGGCACTATGTAAGCATTATGATTTTACCCAAACCAAGATCTTATTTGGTTGGGCTGATTCATGTCAAACTCGTACTATGAAAGTGCCTTTTGGTGAAAACACCTTTTTGAGGTTTCTTGCTTCTGAGGCGCATTTTCACCTCTTGATGTAGCACCACCGCCTGTTACAAAAAAGGAGGAAGACAAGAGGAAGAAGAAAAGGAAGAGAGAAGACAAGTCAAATAAGAGAATTTGAAATTTTTGTATTTCTCAAAACATAACATATACAACCCTAACATAATGAGAAATTTGAACTTTGAAGAAACCTAGATACTAAAAATTACAATTAAATCCCTACCAAAGATGAAAATTACACTTAAATCCCTACCAAATATGAAAATTACTGTTAGAGCTAGCTGAATAAGGGTAGATTAGTCATTTTATTCAGTTAAGTTATGTGCTAATGTGGCAGTTCTAATATGACTTCCTGTCCCATACTTAAGTGGGGGCAGTTTAGTCATTGCACAATTAATTAGGGACTAATCTAAATTATGGTCGACTGATAGGGTTTAGCTATGAGGTTTGACTGTTCTTCTTCTTCTTCTTCTACTTCTTCTGGTTCGAACTGCTGAAGCCACTGAACAAACATGGTATTAGAGCAGGACGTTGCTCTTTAAATCTCTGATCTTGACTGCTGCTCCTCTCTTATTGTGACATCCTTTTTCTTCTTTCTGGACTGCAAATGGAGAGACAGACTCGACCTAGGTCTGAGAACACTTTGGCCCCTCTTCCTCTGCTCAGAACTTGATCGTCTTTCAAAGAAAATAACTCCCGAAGTAAGTGGATGGTTGACTGAAGCTCTCCATCGAGGTTGGTTACCTTTTTTTTTGTGCGGTTGGTATTTCTGGGTTGAAAACCCTCAAAAATCTGCTCAGACTGATCAGAACCTAAAGAACTAGGTTGTTTGTAGCCTTGGTTCTTGACCAAAGGTCCAAGAACAGGCTGTGTTTATAGTGACCGAATGGTGTAAGGGTATGTTTGACCCTCTTGGGTGGGTCTGTAGATTGTTTTTTTTAAACCTTTGATGGTCACAAGTGACCTGAATCGACTGACAGGTTACTGCAGTGGTAGTAGTTGATGTTTTTGGACTGGTAATGCCCTCTGAAAAGGTCAGACAGACCTATACCATGTGCGACAGCTATGGTTGTGTGGTGGTGCTTGTGATGCTCATCCTTTATTGAGCAGCTTCAAGAGGGCTTGTATGTGGTTAGTGAGTTGCTGAATTACTGTCATGGTGATTTATGGCGCTGTGTAATCAGTAGTGGTGTGAACAAGAACAAAAGTTGTGTTTTTTTTGGGCTGGAAGGAATGGCCGAACTGCCTACATCAATTTTCTGCCTTGTTGGTGCTGTTTGAATGCTGGTTTACCTTTTGTTCTTATTCTGAATGGTAGTTTACACAGTGGTGATTGATTGTGACTAGTTGTGAACCTATCATCTGAGTTTGGAGACTGCTGTAGTGTTGCCTTGACAGTAGTGTTTGGTTGGTGACTGAGAGTTCAGCATTAGAAATAGCAGTGGGGGACATAATGGCAGCAACGGGAGATGGTTCGAGTGATCAGAAACCGAGTGTGATGATCCCCTCCGACTTTCTGGGTGTGCAGATGACTTCAGTTAAACTTAATGGTGAGAATTATGTGCCATAGGCCAAGTCTGTGGAAGTTTTCCTCAAGGCAAAGAAGAAAGTGAAACACGTGAAGGAAGATAAACCATTGGCTGACTCTCCAGGTTTTGATGACTGGGAACAAGAAGATGCCCAAATCATGACATGGTTATGGAACAGTATGGAACTCAAAATAAGTGCTAATTTTATGTTCTTAGATACAGCTAAGGACATATGGGAACATGCCAAGAAGCTTTATTTTGGGCAGGATAACAGTGAAGGGGACAGGCGGTGCTGATTGTAATTTTTCAGCTGTAGCAACAGGGAAAGGAAAAGGGGATAAAGAAAGGAAAGGAAGAAGAAGAAGAAAACAAAAAAAAAAAGAGGAGAGGAAAAGAAAGTAGGTGACATGGCTACCGTTAAGGTTCTATTGCTGAAAACAGAATTGGGGAAGAGGGAGAAGAAAGGAAGAAAGAAAAGAAAACAAAGAAGGAAAGAGACAGAGAGAGAGAGAGGCAGTGACTGTTGTAAGGTTCGGTTGCAGATTGGAGAGAACACGAAAAAAAAAGAAAAGGACGAGAAGAAGTAGAAAGAGAAAGAGGAGACAATGGCTGGCCTTTGTTGAGTTGATAGAGACAAAGATGAGAGTTGGTTGAGCTGCAGCTGCTTTGGTTCAGCCAAGAGTCAGGAAGATGAAGTAGCAACTAGTGGAGGCGTGAATCAGGCTCTAATACCAAACTGATGCACACCTGTTACAAGAAAGGAGGAAGACAAGAGAAAGAAGAGAAGGAAGAGAGAAGACAAGTTGAAGAAGAGAATTTGAAAAATTTCTATTTCTCAAAACATAGCATAATGCAACCCTAACATAAGGTGAATTTATAAGAAACCTAGAAACTGAAAATTACAATTAAATCCCTACCAAATAAGATAATTACTGTTTTCTTGGTAGAAAAATTGCTGAATAGAAGAGAGAAGAAGGAAGAGAAGAGAGAGAGAGATGAGAAGATTTGGAGTCAAAAAGATAGTGTTGGCAATGCCAGCTTTTGTATTTATATTAGAGCGACAAAATAAAAGAGGGAAAAATATAATAGTGCCCTAGTAGTCGACTACTAAGAAAACCCTTCGTCTAGTAGTCAACTACTAGGAACAGTCTTAGGCTAGTAGTCAACTACTAGGAACAGTCTTCATCTAGTAATTGACTACTAGGAATAGTATACTGCTAGTAGTTGACTACTAGCAACAAAGTACATTATTTCAACAATAGAACTACGCCTCCTTAACTGATTCTAACACGCCCCCTCAAGCTGGACAGTCTATGTCATATAGTCCTAGCTTGTTACATATATAATTAACTTTCCCTGAACTCAACCCTTTTCTAAATAAGTCTGCCTGCTGATAATCTGAACTCCCATGCTTTGTGCTTATTACACCAATAAGAACTTTTTCCCTTACAAAATGACAATCAACCTCTATGTGTTTAGTCCTCTCATGAAAAACTGGATTAAATGAGATGTGAATTGCAGCTTGGTTGTCACATTATAGTTTCATGGTTTTGCTTATTGAGAATCCAACTTCCTGCAAAAGATTTTTCAACCACACTAATTCACATGTAGTGTGTGCCATGGCCTTGTATTCATCTTCGACACTACTCCTTGCTATAACAGTTTGCTTCTTGCTCTTCTATTTCACTAGATTTCTTCTAAGAAAGATACAATAACCTGTAGTGGATCTTCTGTCAGACATCGAGCCTGCCCAATCTGTATTTGTATAGCCAACTATTTCAAGACTTCTTCTTGGCTTGTACAATAACCCATGACCTAGAGCTCCCTTCAATTACCGCACAATTCTAAGAACTACATACTGGCATAAGGGATGATAGACATTAAGTTCATTCCAAAGATTTATTATACTGGTATAATACTCGTCAAGGGTCTGATTTCCCTATTGCAGACTAAAATAATCCTGATAAAGCTGATAGACTCTTGTAGTATTGTCTTGTCTAGAATAGAGTCTCCTAGCTTGATCCCATATTTCCTTGGCTGTGTTTAAGAACATAAAGTTCACATTGATTTTGGGTTCCATACTATTCCACAACCATGTTATAATTTGAGCATCCTCTTGCTCCCAATCTCTAAAACCTGGACATTTAGCTACTGGTTTCTCCTCCTTTACATGCTTTACTTTCTTCTTAGCCCTAAGAAACACCTCCACTGACTTGGCCCATGGCACATAATTTTCACTGTTGAGTTTAATGGATGCCATCTGCACACTTGAAAAATATGAGGAAATCATCATACTAGATTTCTGATCAACACCAACATCTCCGTTTGATGTCATCATGTTTTTCAATTCAATAAACTGATTCTGCCCTTCCCCCCCACCCCCAGAAAAAAAAAAAAAAATACTGCTAGTAGTTGACTACTTGAAATAGAGTACATTATTTCGACAACAGAACTACCCCTCCTTAGCCGACTCTAACAATTACAAATACCCCCTACTAAGAAGAAATTTTATAATTAAACCCAAATTTTGCATTAATCAAAGTAAACTTTAAACTAATGTTGTCTACGCCTAAAATAAGTATGAATTCTATGTGGTGCTTTTGTTTCAAAGTGATCTTCATCACCTCTGTTTGTCCCATGTGGCACCTAATGGTGCCTAGGTGCTTTAAACAAGAATAAACAATTGTGCATTGGGTTTTTGCACACAACCCAGCTATTTTCCCAATTTCCAAGACTAAGCTCAGGTACAAACATTGCCTCAAAAAACGACCATGGTATCAATCGTATCCTTAATAAGAATGTGGGGTTTCTCCTAGGGTATCATGGTGATTTTCATGAAGCAAAAGTATGGCTACTGATAACTAGTTTGATCTAGTGATGGAGAAATCGTTGCAGTTGGTCATGGAGGTGTCATGTTGAAAAAAATGTATCATGGATATAAATATGAAAAGAAACAATCAAACAATAGCTTGATGTGATGAAACAGCTGCTGACAACTAAGGTGTATAGTGGTTTAGAATTAGGGTTTTATTTGACAGGCTAAGTGTTCGTTTATTTTCCCTTCTTCAGGTAACTAGTAAGACTTAACTTCTTAAGCATGGTGTAAGAGCATGCGTTGCAGTTTGGACATTCCTGTCTTCTTGACTTTTTCCCCCTTGGTATTCTGGCTACTCGTGTTTGATAACAATATATATTAAGAAATTGCTATATAAGTATATATATGGTTTCTTGTTTATATTTGACTACATATATACATATATATTAAGAAATCTTTTATCAACGCCTTTTCAGGTCAGCAAATATTGGAGTATTTATATGCTTGAAGTGTTGTGGAGTGCACAGAAATCTTGGTACACATATCTCAAAGGTAGTTTTCAATGTCAGTCATTTCTTTTTATGATAATAAAGTTCAAAGAAGATTTTATTACATAAAACAAGGTGCAACAAAGAGTTTTGGTCAATTCAAAACTCTCAATACTCTTAATTTTGTATATTGAGAGTATCAATACTTTGAACCATGGTTATCCACGAGAAAAAATTATGAAATAATATGAAAACACTGCCCTGAAGAAAGCCAGATTGAATTAACATCATGATCCTTCCTAAGAGACTGTCTGTATCAGAACACTTGAATGACGGGTTCCGTCATTGTATGAGTTGGTACAGTCATGTGTGCTAAGAAACAGGGACATGTGTTGCAAATTGACTGAATTTGAAGATTACCAACAGTTTGAGAAAAACAAGGGTAACTATTTTCTTCTTTTTTTCTTCTCCTTGGATAGATTTTTTTATCAGTAGCAGAATTTATTAATTATCATGAAGAGGGTTACAATCCCGGCACACAGAGCCTGGCCCCAAAGCTTTTAGTTACATCACAGCCCAGAAAAGTTGTTCCCTGTTGATCCCTTTCTTGTCTAGACAATCTGCCAAGCCATTTGGTGATCTATTGATCCAAGAAAAATTCACACCCACTTCTCTAGCAATAAATCTGATTTCCCTTATCACTTGCCTATGAGACCATACTCCTTGATTTCCAGTTTGCAACCATGAGATTACCAGTCTAGAATCTCCTTCTACCTCCACATGTCTGAGTCCTTGCTGCCTAACTAATCTCATACCATACAACAATGCCGTAATTTCTGCATTCAGAGAGTCTTCAGCCCCTAAGGGTCCTGAGAATAAAGCCATAACTGAACCATTACCATCCATGATTACTACTCCAATTCCAGAGGGGCCTGGATTCCCTTGTTTATATCCTTTTGGTGTAAAGTTCCCTATTCAGCTTTATGGTAAGATGTAGTGCCAGTGTTAGATGGACATGGATGCAGGAATCAGAATCTGACATGTGCCTGGGAGTCCGACTTGGCGAGATTAAGAAACTAGGACTTGCAAGACATGTCTATAGAAAAAGTATAAACTATTAAAGTACTCTGTGTTCTGTTGAACTTTAACATTATAAACCCATAGGAAAGGTCTAAAGATTATTTTTATTATTTATTAACATTTTGTAGTAAAAATGGCATTGATTCTGTATGTGATCTGTTTATTTATGTTGAATAAGGAGAAAAAGAAGAATGTCATATGTCCTTCAAGAATGAAGAATCCATGTAGTATTGGAATCTGATGCGTACTTGACTTGACTCTTCATCTATTTAGGAGATTCCATGCAACACTAGTGCTAATTGGCAGCATCTTGGTGGACATTTATCTTCTATGCTCATAGTGTATCAGACTTGTACAGTAGCAACATCATTTTTTTTATCTGTTAGTTTCAAAATTTAATATAAAGGATTATCAAGGAAGACATTTCACATTAAGTGACAGTACTTCCTATTTCTGAAAACTGAAGATAATACACAATTTCTTTTTTTTTTTTGATGGTAAATGGTAACTTTCATTAAACTTAATAGGAAAAGTTATACAAATGTCACCTTCAGAGACATAAGGTGACCCCTCAAAATATAATCAATTACAAACAAGCAAGGAATAAAGTTTCCCTACTAGCCCCTTGCTTTGCTAAAGCATCAACCATAGCATTTGCTGAGCTGCTAGTCCATTTAAATTTTGCTTCTATCTCCCTTGTTAGCATCATTATTTCCTTTATAGGCTGTTTAAGGGACCAAGTGCCCAAGCTGTTTGTTTGCATCCAGTCTACTACCAAGTACCAACTTTGAATCTCCCTTCACTTCTAACCGTTGAAAAACCAACTGTTTAGCCAATCTAAGCCCCTGGAGAAGCGCCAAAACTTCTACTCTAAGTGAGTCACCCAACCCTATTGGGCTAGAGAAAAGGGCCAGAACTCTTCCTTCCACTTCCAAAGGGGCTAAGATTGCCTATAGAGCTTCCATCAAAATTCAGTTTCACACTAAATTGTAGAGGAGGGGACCAATTCTCTTGAATTGTAGTAGATGAAACAGAAGAACCTGCTATTGTGCTCCAACCTCTAATCAAATTAAAGATCCAAAGTTTTCAGCCAATGTATAGCCTTAATGGTGATCCCTTCAATGGGTTCAATTATTGTTCTTTCTTGCCCTTGGAAAGTCCTATTATTTCTCTCTTCCCAAACTGCCCAAATAATTGCCACCCTCGTTCTCCACATCACCATTCCCTTTTCTTTGGTTTTCGGCAAAAGATAGAGTCAAAAAGGTCTGCCACGCTTGTGAGAGGATTCCACTTGCAACCAAAGAGAGAGGAGAACCAATCCCAAATATGATTAACAAGAGGATAGGAGATTAATAGATGATTTACCATCTCACCACTCTTCAAGTTTAGATATGTGGGGATAAAGGCCAGTTTGGTCTTTTTTTAAACACATCAAAGGTGTTAATTTTTGGAGAACCACTTCCCAACAAAAGGCCCTCAGCTTTGGAGGTACATGGGCATACCACACTTATTTAAAGGGAAAGATATAACCGAGTTAGGAGATTGCAACAAAGCATTGGAAAATGAGAGCAAGAGAAATAACCTGAGGAGGATTCTGATCAAATTCTACTATCAAGACAAGAATGGTCCAGAAACACCGAGTTTAGAAGAGAAAATAGTTAAATTGCCGAACCTACTTCTAAATCCCTCAAATCTCTCCTTAATCACAGACCCCAAGAATCCCTAGAGACAAAAAGAAGAGATGATTTGAACTTTGTTCAAAGAAAGGGAATAGATGATCGGGGATCTATCCTTTAGAGGATAGTCCCCAATCTAAATGTCCCAAAAAAGAACCTTATTACCCAAGCAAGCATCATACCTGATGAAAGGAGAAAAATTGGGCAGAACACCAACGATGTCTTTCCATGGGCAGAAACAAGAAGCCCTAGGGTCAAGACTAGCATCCCATCCATTTGCTGCCAATCCATATATACTTCCTATTACTCTATGCCATAAGCTTTCTTTCTCCTTGAGAAATATCCACAGCCACTTGCATAACAAGTTGACCAACAAATATTAAATTGGTAATAAGATGAGGAACGAATAAAGTTTGAGGCAATTTGAAAGGGGTAGAGCCGTCGGGTCAAGCTGAAAGGGGTGGCTCTTTAAAAACTCACGTGACTGAACAGTTAAGTGGGGCTGGACTTAACAATTCGTGTGGGCCTTCTCAAACAGGAAATAGACCAACAGAATTTGGCCCATGTTTTCAGTTGTCACATGAGGTTTTAAAACCTCATGTGATTGAGGATGGACTGATTCTAGACAAGTTTATTCATCTAGCATCGTCCTCTTTGAGCTCCTCTAAGGCTTCAAAGAAGTCGAACCAGAGAACAAGTTCGCTACAGTGGGTTCCTTTGAGAAATTTGTCGCAACCTTCCAATGATCGTCGCAATCCAAGGTCAGTTCGAAGGTGGGACCTGGAAAACCTGGATACAGAGATGCCATCTGAAGCTGAAAGTGACTTTGGTTCAGACACAGACAACACGATCAGTATAGGAAGTGTAAATTTGAAAGATTCTAAGGACTTGTGAGAAGATGAAAGCTTAAACACTGCTATTCTGTTCCCAGTGGAAGAAATATGTGTTTTGGAAGGTTGTGGAAAAGGGGAGAAGTGAAATAAGGTGGAAGACGAGGCTAACAAGTTAGAAACTTCAACAACTGATGAAGGGAACTTAGCAGCAGCTTTAAAGGATGACCAGGGTACACCCATTCTTGCAAACAAATCCTTTCCAGAAAACAGGCAGGTAAAGAGTTTCGACTTGGAGAGGCAGGATTCTTCTTTGAAGGTTTACAAGAAAACACCCAGAAAGGAAACTATACCAAAGTCTCCCCCAGATGTAGGGACTGATAAGGCTTTGATTGAACCAAGTTTACCCCAACAACCAAATCAAACAGAGGGAAGGAGTTCTGGTCAGAATTCTATTACTGATATCCCAACACAACCTGTTGACTTTTCCCCTCCTATCAGGCCAGGTATGTTTGTCCATTCAGGTTTTGTTACTAATCGGGGTTTTGTGCCTGAAACAGGTATCTTGGCATCACAACTGGAGAGAACAGCCAGAGGTGAAGGAATAGAAGTTGAAAGGGTGAGGTCAGAAATATTCATCAAAAAAAAAAGGGCGAAGTCAGAAACAGAGGGAGAAGTTTCGTTGTTAGAAAAAATACAGGTGGAGGAAGTGGAGAGAATTTGGGAGCAAATCGATGTTTTGTTGGAGGAATATAAACAGATAGAGGAGTTGTTGGAGGCAACACCAAAAAAACTAGAACCCCTAGAGAGTAATTGTTGTGAGAAGAAAGGACGGGGTAAATGAGTGATGTTAGGAAAAGAAACAATTAACAAAAGCAAAAAGAAAAAGAAAAGGTCCGAGGTTGAAAGATTAATTTCAGACATAGAAGGGGGCTTAGAATTTAGTGGAAGAGGGGAGAGGAGGAAGGCTCTAAAGTGAAGGAAAATGGAAGGTGTGGAGGGTATCTTTCTACAATCGAGTTGATGAACATCATTAGCTGGAATGTGAGGGGTCTAGGAAGTGCAAGAAAAAGGAGGGTGATAAAAGATCTTTTAAAGAAGGAAAGGCCTGACATTGTATTGATACAAGAAACCAAACTAGCTAATCTAGACAGAAAATGGGTTAGAAGTGTGTGGAAAGCAAGAGGTGTGAGTTGGTGCTCAACTCCCTCTTGGGGAGCCTCTGGGGGGATAATTACTCTTTGGAGAGAGGATGTGGTAGAACCATTAGAGGAGCTGATAGGTAATTTTTCTGTGTCACTAAAGTTCAGGATGGTGGAAGATGGTTTCGTTTGGGTATTAACCAATGTGTATGGGCTGAATAATTATAGAGAGCGGAATGAGCTATGGGAAGAACTCTATGGAATTCAAGGACTTTGGGAAGGCCTTTGGTGCTTGGGTGGAGATTTCAATGTAATAAGGTTTCTTAATGAGTCAAA